CAGCTCCTTTTATGAAGTTAGTGTAAACTCCAAATGAGGGCAGCAAGTAAAAGAAAATTATAAACCAATTTCTCTTATAAACATAAATGTAACAATTGTAAATACAACATTGCTAAACATAATTCTACAATATATACAAATTATATATAACAGGATAAGACAGATTTATGCCAGAGAAAAATGTTATACCATGAGCATGGCTTAATATTAGAATATTAACAAAAATCTACCACATTAACAGGAGGAAAAATATAAAATTTTGCAATAGTTCAGAAAATAATTTTTAAAATATTGAAACATATTTAAAGCAAACTCTTTTAGCAAACTAGAAATAGTAGGGAATTTTCTTAAGCTAACTAAGGGAATGGACCAAAACCTTCCTGAACACAGATTACTTAATGATAAAATACCAGAAGCATTTATTTTAGTTTCAGAATTAATATGAGGATGCCAGTAATCACAACATCCATATAATATTGCAGTGGAAGCTCAAAGCAACACAATAAGAATAGAAAAATAAATAAATAAAAGAAATAAGGTTTGCAAATAATGAAACAAAATAGCAAATGACATGATTATCTACAGGGACATTTACAGGCAAAATGAAATAAGATATTTTAACATACTTCCTGAATTAAAATTTAATATATAATGATTAGTAATATACATGAGTAATACTCTATTATAAAACATGATTTCAAAGATACTACTCTCAAGAGCAATAAAGTACTGTAGGTATTTAGATTTAAACCGAACGCACTATATGCAAAACTTTTTTTGTGGAGAATTATGAGACATAATTGAAGGCCATATGGAGAGTTGAATAAATGGAAGGACATATCATGTTCATGGATTGGGAGAATCAATGTCATAAAGGTTTCTGTTTTTCCCATTTTGATCTATACGTTCGGTGTAACCCTTATCATAATCCTAATGCAACAGTGCATTTTGAGTGTATTTCATTTGTGGACAAACTTTTCCAGAAAATCAGCACCCTTCTGACACAGTAATCCTTTTCTAAATCGATAGAATGGTTATCTTTATAAAATACAGATTTGATTATGTGATTTTTTTTTTGCTTAAAATTTTTCACTGATCACTAACAATTTTCAGGATAGAAGTCAAATTCTCAGACAAACCCAACAGACCCTCCATGGTGTGACTGGACCTCTCTTAAATCTTATCTCCTGCCTTTTCCCACATACAACCAAGGCCCTAGAGTCCCACACGTGGTATTGTAACATGCATGTGTCTTTAATATAGGTTTTAGTACCTGAGGTATTTAGGTCTGGTCTGAGAGCAATATGGTGGGACAATTTGGGTGTAGTTTCTGGAAGCATACCACCCAAAGTCAATCCTCTGACCCTGTTGGAGATTTTATGAGCTACATAAATTAAAACTTGATAAATCTTGTCTGGGCAACTTGATGATGTTGTAAATCTACTTCCTAGATAATTTAAGCACCTGCAAAGTCCCATATTGTCTCCCCAATATAAACTTAAAAATGAGAGACTACTATATGTACAGTGCTGTTCTTTTCAAAATAGTAAATAGAAGATTGAAAATAGAGACAGTCTTAGGAAGGCACAGCATGTGTTCAGGCAGTTAAGAAACAATTACATGCAAAAACGAGATAAAAAGAACAGACACTAGAATTTAAGGAAAAAAGATAGTTATTGGACTGAAAAAGAGTGAAGAGAGGTGCTTAGGAAGTAAACCCAGTACACGATGTGTACTAGACGAAATCAAGGGAAGAGCAGCCTCTCATCCTTGGTCTTTTGCTCTAGCTCACAGCTTTAGTCTGGAATGCTCCTGATGTCTGAACTGATGTGATCTAAGCCAGGAAAAGACAGAACAAAGAGACCAGTCTGAAAAGATTCCAAAGGGCATCCTCTAATCAGAAAATAAAGGCCCACCACAAGATCTGAAAAAACATATTTTATCACTTAAATTTTTTTAAAAAATCATCTTTTCTGTTCTTTACCTCGTTTTAGAAAGGGGTTGGCAGAAATATTTGGAATTTCTAAATGCCTTCATCAGATATATGCCCCAAATCATTTTAACAATCAGAAGCATTCTATTTTAGAGAATGTTTATTCATTGCACTGACATAAAATGTATTGTGAAGCTTCTTTATTTCGTCAGTGAAAGAATTTAAGGAGTATAGATATAGTGGAATCAAGTAATATCTGTTCATACACTCTTGCAAATATGGACGAATGTAAGTTCAAAAAAATAGAAGATAAATCGTTTATATAAAGGTGATACTTATATTTAATAATTCAACTTGATATTTGGGATCTAGAGAATTCCTGTTTTAACTGCCGAGTTACCCCCAATGAGAAGGTAATGTCTGTAGGTTAGGTCACGTGACATTCCATGAAGTGGTCCCAAGCACCATGCACCTGATTAGTGTGGGGCTGAAGGATCAGTTGACACCACTCAGCAGCGTGTGTGGATTTCACGTGGTATCGCGTTTACTGTTTAGGTTGGCTGCACAGCTTGACAGGAGTATTGAGACACCCCTCAATCACTGCCACCACCAACACACACACCACACACACACCACACACCATCCACCTCCATTCACAATAGCTGTAGAATAATGAAATTGGAATGATCTGCGGTTTTCCAAAATGTGATGAAAGGGTAACTTCATTTTGAAATATTGGTAAATAATAATAATACATACATACTTACTCTGTACATACTTCTTGCTCCCTTGTAGGGAGTTCTGCCTCTCAATTGCTTTTACCTCATATTTCATTTGCTCTCCCTTTTAAGAAAATACATAAAATGAATATTATCCTAATTTTTGCAAGTGGAAATACTACAGCATGGACTAAGGGCCACGATAGATGTCTCTCAAACTGGTTTACTGTGGATTTGAGACAGGAAATCAAGTTTCTAATCTCTTCGTTCCATATTCTTCCCATTGGCTTAATGACTCCCCAACAGAGTGAGGGTTTTAAATTAAGAACTATCTGGCACTTTCCATCTTACGTGTGTCTAGAACTTCAGTACACCAGGTGTATTCAGTGTCTTTTTCCAGTTATCAGGACAACTATTTAGAACTTTTATATAACCATTTCTCTGAGGTTTATTTTTCAATCTAAGGAACACATCAATCCTGAACTGTAAGATCCAGCAAAGGAGAGAAGAATCATTTATGGCTGTGTCGTGAAGTAGTGAATATCACCCTTGTCACTCACGGTTTGTGCGTGCCTACCCGACTACCAGAATTTGCACTTGATCTGCCGCCCCAACTCTGCACTCCACGCATTATTTGGATAGTAAATTGGCCTCATTCGGTCATTTAATATTTCTTTGTAGGGTAAAAGAGTAGCTAAATCAAGTTTATTTGAAGTTTATAATTATCAACAATGCATACTCAAAGACCAGTGAAGCAGAAGTTTACCTCCTGGATTTTTCCTTGAATAACTATTTTGACCCAACAGAGCCTGTGGGAACAGTTGGCTTTTAAAAATTTACATTTCATTTAGGTTTAGGAACAACCTTCAACAGAGTTTAAACTGTGAAGTTCCACATGAAGGAAACAGATCGACTCCAGTACCAAACAAAAGACGTTAGATTGATATGTTCCAACCTCAAAAGAATTTATTGGATATGTTTTCCTAGACTAAACTTCATAGCATAGGAGGGCCAAGCTCTTCTGATTTTTGAATCATTTTATTCTATGATACTAACAATGAGGAAGAAAGAGGAGGAATTTAATTTCATTTAATTTAAAACTAAACAAAACACAAAAACAACAACTATACCAGTGGGCATGAAAGGGCAGAGGGTTTGAGGATTACAAAAGAGATTGATGCAAAATTAAAAAATGCCAGTTGTCGTAACAGGCTTCCTTATGATGGAAATAAATTAAAATCCTTATAGGTGGAAGAAACACTTACATAATCATTTGAATGTACTTGATTTTGAATGATCTCATAGTAAAGTCCCGGGGAGCCCACAAACATACCACAAAGGAGTCACTTTATACCAGGACGCATGAGCAGCAACTGTTCTTAAAAGAAAACAAATTTCTGTTCAGGGAATTTGAACCACTCCAAAGGATTTAATGACTTGCAGGGGTTTGTAGGTCAGTCACATCTGTTCTGAAATGAAATGCTTCTTCCTGTTTCTAAGTTGACTAAGTCTCAACCCCATTTGCCTTCACATCTTAAAACAAAGATTATTTCTGTTTCATTAGCTGTGCAACAGTCAGGGCCTTTATGTTTACTCGAGCAGATGGAACTCATCAGCTTTATTCTTCTCTTTTTGTCAGCAAAAAAGAAGGAAGATGCAAAAGAAAAGCAAGAGAAATAAAATTGGTGTTGGGTTTGAAGGTCTGATTGGTATGTCTTGGACACATGGACACGTGGAGAATAAGAGTATCTATAATAATATTAACAGCTAGCTAGCACTTTTCCAAGGTGGAGAGTTTTTTCTTTCTTTGTATTTTTTTTCCTGTATTTCCCCTGTATTTTTTCCCCCTTCAATTATCAGGTTTCCATTGTTCTGCTGTCTGAATCTTCTGTGTGTAAATGAAAGGGAGCTGGTCTAAGCGAGGAAAAGAGAAGTTCTCCAGCTGTCTTAGAGGCCCGTTTACACCCACGATGTAAGTTTCTGATGCTTTACGCTTAGACAACACCAAAAGATGAAGATGGGTTTTTTCCCCCTAGATCCTTATTTGCAAACATCACAATTTGCTTGGAAAGTTCTGAAGAGAAAAAGCAAAATGAGGGCTACATGAAATCCGAAGTGAGGACAGGCTGAGAAGCTACTGCTTGAGGGAATGAGTGCATGAAAGAATTCGCATATTTTGTAAAGAGATGAGAGAAAGGCTCCTTATGTTCAGGAAGAGAGAAAGACTATGCTGGAAGAGAGAGCATCCACCTTGGCTTCTGTTCCCTATACCCTTCTTTCTGCACAAATCATGGCAGGTAGTGAGACAGAAATAACCCCTCCCTGTATTTCTGTACCCCAGATCTCACCTGTGAGTAGATGAGGTTCTGCCAGTGTTGTGCAGCAGGATAATTTCCGCCCGGAGACCGCGCAGGGCTGGCCTGAAGGAGGGCTGAGCTCATTAAAGACTTCACGTCAAGCTGCAGGAATTTGTCAGGATGGTCGTTATTTGGCAACACAGAGAGATCCATGTCTCCCTTCACCTACCGTGGAAAACAAAGGCAGGCGAAGCTGCTCCTGTCAGACTCCTCCATTATTAACGAGCCCGGGGATGCTCCGACTGGCATCCGAAACCAGGTCTCTTAGCTGCACACAGAAGCCACTCTCAAAATGACACAGCAATGCACAGGGACAAAGCAACAGAGCAGCACACTGCGCTACCTTGCACACACACGCACGCACACGCACGCACACATACAGTGAGGGCGTCTGAATGGAACAGATGGGTCTGCACTCGTTAAAATTAATAGGATGACAAAATTAGATATGCGTAGCACTTAATGTCTCTCCATTCAGAGTCAGAAATAACAATTGAAGGGAAGCTATTGTTTGGATAAAGGCTGCCAGCATGTCGGGGTGGCAGCCCGTAATTTGGAGCACTCCCAACACTGCTGACCCGCATGGCTGGCTTGGCCCTGCCCACACGGCCTCACATGTGATACGCAGGGTCATGTTTCTTCTCATGTTTTGACTCCCAGAGCCTCAAGCGCATGTGAAACCTAATCAAATTTAGGTTGTCGGCTTTGCTCTGAGTAGGGAAATGGCAAGCGTCTGCTTCATAGTTTGCTACAGTCATTTAGCGCCCGACCTACTGCTTTGACCTCTTCACTCTCGTAGGCCGCTTTGACTCTGTTCCTAGCTGTGTGCGCCTCCACGGTGTGCTTTTGTGTTCACGCAGCACATCTGGCACTAAGCATGGCTGCTGGGTTTGGATGACAGGCTATCTATCCTAAGTGAACCCATCTGCTGTTAAGAGAGCCAAGGTGAGACTAAGGCTACGGCCAGCTGCAGCCAGCCAGCAAGCGACGAGGGCCTTACTGGAGATACATTCTCTCCTTACAAGCCTCTCTGCTGCAAGCAACCCATACCTCTCACTGGGAAAGAGGCAGAGGAAGAGAAAACTTTCCTGCCTGTGAGAAGAAAAAGGGCAGATACATCAGCAGTTTCTAAAAGACATAGGTTGTTTGTTATTTCTGCATCTCCACAAACCCCTCTGATTCAGCAGGAAGGTTTCCCTTCCAGGGGCAGTGGGGTTACATGTGGAAAGTATCAGCCCTGGATGTCAGAAGAGTGCCATACAGCTCGCAGGCATCAGCAGCCAGGATGCTCTTGAATCCAGCGAGACACTGGAGAGCACTTACCTTCTTTACAGCAATAAGCATGAGGGGGTGTGTTTTAAAAAATCTGCCGTGCTTATGGTTGTAAAACTGAATACGTAGTTAAAATTTTCTCTAAGAAATTGTTGGACTCAAACTCTATCACTATTTTACCATATTTAAAATATATTTGGATGGTTTTATCCACACATTTACTAAGGAAAATAATAGGCACTTCATAATGACAGTTAATAACCAGACAGTTAAGCCACAAGTGTTTCAAGAGTCAAGCGTCGTATGTGCATGTGTGTGTGCTCCGTACAGTCTGGATTCTTCCGACTGCCGCCAGCATATATCCAATGCACAGATATTTCTCAGGCTGCTTTTCCTAAAGGATTCTTTGGGGAAGAGCACACACCTTCAAGAAAAACCTTACTTGTCTTTGGCTTTCTACACTGGCAAGTAGAGACACAGAACCCAGATCCAAATAGATTAGATTAGGCCTTTTCCTAAGCCAAAGAATAAGGTAGGTGGAGGGAGCCTTTGGTTTTCCTCAGGCATCCTTCCCTTAGACCCCCGCCATGCCCTCTGTGGCCGAAGGCTTCAGTGCTGTCTCTTTCCACTTACAAGTTCAGTCTCAGAGCCTCCATCATCTCCCACCACCTTCGTCTACCTTTACCCCCAAACCACCAGTTCTCGTTTCTCACTGCTATCTGTGTAGGTAAGCTACACGGCGGGCAGCAGCAAACCAAGCTTTGTCCCCTCTCCCTCTCCCTCCCTCCCTCTTCCCCTCTGCCCCCACCACCCAAACCAAACCTGTGACCCTGCTCACACCAGCTCTGCAGCCTGAAAACGTGTTTTTTCTCATCCCTGGCTGTTGACCACCCACTAACCATCCTTCATGGGCCGTCACTGACTCCTAGTCTTTGACAAGACCTTTATACATTTTCCCTAGGAGGTACGATTTTCCCCTCCTTTGAAACTTTACAGTGATTTATTTGTATCCTCGTCTTACTATCTTTTGTTTGATGATGTAGTTCCTGCTTCTGTCCTAGGAGCCCGGTGCTAGAGGAGGCATCACGGAGGAGCAGCCCCGCTGCACGGCCCCTCCCTCGAGCCACGTCTGAAGACCCTAATGAAGCCCTTTGCTCATAAATAATGACTGCTGTTGTCTCTTCCAGTTTCTTAGGACTCAACTATGATTATAAATTGATAATCCAATTAAATTTGATCAAAAAATGGCTTTGTACTCTGTTTTTCCATCTATGCTCCAACCAGGCTGAGAGAAAAAAGGATTCTATTGCCAAAAATGACATCCTCTCTGTATTCTCCTCTGGTAGTTTACAATGAGTAAATCCATATGGAAACCTATGTTCTGTTTTGTTAACTCTAGCATTTTTCAAATTTATTTGATCACATAATACCCATTTCTTTGTTTTCCTATTAACTCAAAAAATAAAGTTACTTGAGAATAATTGGACAGATATTGGCTTAGGGTTTCTATTCCCTATCAATAATACCTTCATTCAAGAGTGACAAAGAATATGTATAAATACGTATAAATAAAGAGTTTCATTGGAGGGGAATTTTGGTGGAAATGTGCATATCTGAGACCTTACAACCCTTGCCATGCAGGCAATTATTTGCTCTTTCTTTACAGCAATTTTTAAAGTGTCATTTTCCCATGGATTGGTATCCAGAATTATTATTTTTTGAACTACAAAGTTCAAAAAAGTTTTGTTTGAAAAACAAAATTATATGCAGGTTCATTAGACAAAACTGTTTACATATTAATTCACTTTCTTTTTCTCTATTCTTCTTTCTCTTTTTAGTTTTTCTCTCTCTTCTTTCCCTCCCTCCCTCCCTCCCTCCTTTCCTTCCTTCCTTCCTCTTTCTCTTCCTTTCTTTCTTTCTTTCTATTTCTTCCTTTGTCTTTCTTCTTTCTTTGAAGATTGTACCAACAACCCACTGAAATATCAGAAAGTATTTCCAGTTGAAATGCCTGTATGATGATCAGATGAGTAGTTGGGTTTTATCAAACTATCTGAGATAGTTTGAAAATTATTTGGATAGTTGTATAAATCCTTGTGCATCTGTTATGAAACATTCTTGAAATTGGTGAACAAAAGAGGCTATCAGGATAATTGAATACATGGAATTTATACTCATAGTAGCTGCATTACATCCAACTAAATTGTGTTCTTGGGCAAATTTCCTCAGCTAAAAATTTAAGATATTGATAGTATCTTACAACGTTGCTGTGCAGTTTAATATGCATAGTGGTTAATGGAATGCTCAGCATATATTATGCACTAAAAAAGTTTGCTGTTATTTTAAGAGTGTTATTTTAAGCACATGGATTTTTATTTCGGTTATAATCTGATATAAAGCAAACTGAAAATATTCAAAATTAAAGCCATATTAACAATCCATAGTTTAAAAGCCAACTACATTTCCCAGAATTCCCTTCCTTGTTCATTCTGGTTTAGAATTGGCCAAAAGAGGAACTTGCATGAAATTTTGAAGGCAAAATGGAAGCAGTATCCATTAGACTGAAATTCTTTTTTCAGTCAGATGTGGGGACATAGTCAGATATGCCTGGCATATTCCAGCTTGACATTGGTGTCTTAAGCTCCATGCCCATTTTTCTTTCCAACCATCGGTCCTGCTGAGCAACAGAAAACTCAGATTCACCACCAGCTGTTTGACCGTGGACCTACAAGGAGGAAGTCACATGGAGGCAATCATGTCATCTTTGCAAACCACCCATTCATACGCATACTTAGCTGGCTGCGCCTGGCTGCTCAGATCCAGCGGCTGGTGACTCCTCTAATCCTCCAAGTCCTCTTGCAGCCCTTGAGTTCCTCATTTGCTCCCACAGATACATGAGCTCGAATACATTGTTCTGTGACGCTCTGACACCACTCTGCTAACTGAACCAACAATTATTGGTACCAAAAGTGTTTCCAGGGAACAGAACTTAAAAAATAAAATGTGGAATTGGTTCTCTGATCTGAATAGATTTAAAGGCATTAATGACCCTATTGACAGTAGTAAGTAGGACCCTGGCCATCCCTGGCATGCAGCGACTAAACAGTTATTCAAATTCTCACCTATGGTCACCTGCAGGAAAGTGCCTAGCGAAGGCAAGGGGCAGAGTTGCTAAGTATCTACTGTATTAGAACACTTTCACAGAAACAAAGAGAATAGTGACTGTGGAGTTGATTCGTTGCTTCTAAATGTGCTGAAGAACTTAGGGGAAAAATGATAAGATTGTAGATTTTCAAAGTCGAGTTAGGAGCCAGAAAACTTCAATAACTTCCCTGAAATAAAACCTTTTTTAAAAAATTCTTAATTTTTAAATTTACATGTAATAGTTATTTTACATATATATACATATATACATATACACATACACATACACATACATATATATATATTTATGTGGGGTACATAGTGATGTTTCAATATATAAAATGTATAGTGATAGATCAGGGTAATTAGTATATCCAATCATCTCAAATATTTTTAATTTGCGTTGAGAATATTTAAAATCCTCTCTTCCAGCTATTTGAAAATACATATTATTGTTAACTATACTCATCCTACACTGCTATAGAACATGAGAACTTATTCCTCCTATCTAGATGTAATTTTGTATCCTTTACCAAATCTTCTTATTCCCTTCTTCCCCCTACCCTTCCTAGCCTCTAGTAACCTCTGGTCTACTCCTTACCTCTATGAGATCAACTTTTTTTAGCTTCCACATATAAGTGACGACATGTGGTGCTTAATATTCTGTTCCTGGCTTATTTCATCTAGCATAATGTCTTCAAGCCTCATTCATGTTGCCTAAAATGACAGGATTTTATTCA